TGCCGGTAAGGGGCCCGGCGAGGCGCCGGCTGCCAGTGAACGCCACTGTGTCCATCGGCTCATCCCAGTGCGTCCATGGGGCTCTTCCCAGCCTAGCCAGTACTGTGTGTTGGGGCTGTGCACGATTCCCCCACTTGTCACAGCTGGCAGAGAGGAACCTAACAATAAATAATGCCACTGGTCACGATGGCAGTGCCACGCGGAGCCGCCAGGGCCCAGGCGCACGTACTGCAGCAGGGGCTGGGTAGCTGCAACGTTGCCATCAGCTGCTCCCTGCTCTCAGCCCTGGCTGCTGTTGCGTAGGGCGACCTCGGCATGGATGTGGGAGTGAGGACGTGGTCTGGGCATCATCACTCCTCAGGCTGGAGTCCGCATCCTGGCCAGAGATTCCCCCTTCCCTGTGGCCCCGAAGCAGGTCTGCTCCACGGCACTGTATTTTCCTCTCCATGTCTGCCCTGTGCGGGGGTCGGAGTGGCGCGTTGGAGCTCCTTGTGTCTGCCAGGCCTCTTCCCATCCTGCTCATTCCCATGGCCCAGCCCTGATTCAGCCCCCGCAACAGGACGGTGCCTTGGACACGTGTCACGACGGGAAAGTGCCTTTGGGAACAGGGTATTTCTCCCAAATCCCTGCTTGCTCCCAGGCCTATCTTCTCCTTCACCCTCTTCCTACCTCTCCCCACTGGTTGCCCCTGTCCTTCCCACCCCAGCACTTTTATAATCCCTCTGGGTCTGAGTCAGCAATGCTGCAAACGCGGGGGCTGGAGGAGACCTTGAGCCCCGAGGGCACCAGAATAAAACTGGCCCAGGAGCTGGGCTCACTGCAGTGGCCACGTTTGATATTTAACTTGTGCACGAATGAGGAGCTTGAGAGTCTGGGTGTCCATAGCCTGCTCGGTCTGCATCACTGAGACGGGTCCCAATACCCTGTATGGTGCCCAGTGAGTCTGGAGCTGGGTAGCAAAGAGCTCTGGTCCTGTCTGTCACTGGGCACAGGAAGCCACTGCGGGGTCTGGACATTGGGTCACCATGTGCTGTCCCCATGTCCCGATAGCCAATGCTGAGGTCAGAGCTGGGTATGGGGTCACGCGATATGTCTCGATGCTGGCGCTGACATTTGGGTATTTAAGAGGAGCTGGTGGAAGGGACGACAGGGATGTGTGACCTGGGAGTGCTGCAAGGAAACCCAGGGAGACCTTCCCAGTTCCCTTTCAGTCCCTTGTGCCGCGAGTTAAGGGCAGTGCGAGCACGGCCACACGCCGGGTGCTTCTGCCGTCCTGCTCCACAGGGAGAGCCGTGGGCAAGGTTAGTCCTGGCCTCCCAAAAGCTGCTGGGTCTGCAGGGGGGAAGCTGAGGTCTTCCTGGGTGCAAAGCCACTTCTCAGCCCTTAGCTGCCTCCACGTGCAGGAGTTTTGTTCCAGTTTTGTTCCTGACAAAAGCTGCCTTTACCCGCTCGTGCTCAAGCACGGGCTGCTCAGAGCCTCTCCGGTGCAAGCCCGACTGCACAGCTTCTTCCCTGCCCTTCCTAGTGTGCAAAGCATTAGAAATGCACCGACCCTGGCAGTACCGGCTCCACAGGGACACGGAGCCAGCGGGACATGGATGGGCTGACCTGCTCCAGGACACTCACCCGAGCTTTCAGCCCCGGTTGTTTTGCTGCGGCCAGGGCTGATTCTGGCATGAGCTGATGGAGCCTCTCCTTGTAGAAGAGGCCTCTGCTTGCAGCTCTGCAGCACTTCCCGGAGGGAAACCGAGTATTATTTTTTTAATTAAAAATATCCCCCCCCTTTTTTTTTTTTTGGATGCATAAAGCTATTTTCTGCTTCTGACTTATAGGAGCTGTTATGCCTACATTGAAATTTATTGTTTTCTTTAAGAACTTTCTTAGTTTCTATCCATCCCTTTGGAAAAAAAAATCCAAAAAACAAACAAAAAACCCCACAACCTGCCATTTTTAGGAAGAATTATTGCTGCTCCCTGAAGTTTTGTGATTCTGCAGCATGCAGAATCATAAAGCTCCACAACGTGATGGCTTTGGTCCTGCCTGGGTGAATCCCCCTGGTTGCTCCTGCAACGAGTCCAGGAGCAGCTCTGGGGCCGTCGCCGATGCCCCTTGTCCAGCTCGGGGCTTCATTAGGATTTTCCCCTGTGGGGAGCTGATATCTGCCACCCCCGCCTGGCCGTTCCTCCTGACCACTCTCTTCCCGGCTTCCCTCCTAGATGCCAAAGGGACCATTCGGGAGATTGTGCTCCCCAAGGGCCTGGACCTGGACCGGCCCAAGCGCACGCGGACCTCCTTTACGGCGGAGCAGCTCTACCGCCTGGAGCTGGAGTTCCAGCGCT